TATGAAGTTGTTCTTCTAATTTTTTCTCTGCTACTTGCCATCACTTAGTTCAACCTCGATTTCTTTATTGCATATCTTTATTTTATTTTATATTTATTTGTTTATTTATTTATTTATTTAAATATTTATTGCTCAGATTATTACAATTGTTTCTCCTTCCCCCCCCCCATAGCTCCCTTCCACCCAGTTCCCGCCCTACCCTCTGCACTTACCTCCCTCTCCTCCCCATTGTCCTCATCCATAGGTATACAAATTTAATCCAATCTTCCTGCACCTCTCAAACCCCTTTCCCCCTGATAATTATCAATCCACTCTCTTTCTTTGCCCCTTATTCTATTATATTCACCAGTTAAATCTGTTCCTCAGATTTTTAATTCACTTGATTTTTAGATTCACTTATTGATATATATGTATTTGTTCATCATAATTTTTACCTTTTTTCTTCTTCTTCCTCTTCTTAAAGAATACCTTTCAGCATTTCATATAATACTGGTTTGGTGGTGATGAACTCCTTTAGCTTTTTCTTATCTGCGAAGCTCTTTATCTGCCCTTCAATTCTGAATGATAACTTTGCTGGATACAGTAATCTTGATTGTAGGTTCTTGCTATTCATCACTTTGAATATTTCTTGCCACTCCCTTCTGGCCTGCATAGTTTCTCTTGAGAAATCAACTGATAGTCGTATGGTGCTCCCTTATAAATAACCAATTGCTTTTCTCTTGCTGCTTGTAAAATTCTCTTTGTCTTTTGCCTTGGGCATTTTAATTATGATGTGTCTTGGTGTGGTCCTCTTTGGATTCCTCTTGTTTGGGGTTCTGTGCACTTCCTGTACTTGTAAGTCTATTTCTTTCACCAGGTGGGGGAAGTTTTCTGACATTATTTCTTCAAATAGGTTTTTAGTGTCTTGCACTCTCTCTTCTTCTGGCACCCCTATAATTCTGATGTTGGTTCACTTGAAGTTGAACTAGAGGCTCCTTACACTCTCTTCAACTTTCTGGATTCTCTCTTTTTTTTTTTTTTTTGCTTCTCTAGAGGAGTGCCCTTTGGCTCTTTGTATTCCAAATCTTTGACTTGATTGTTGTGTTCCTCCAGTCTGCTGTTGGATCTCTGTATAATATTTTTTAGTTTAGTTAGTGTTTGTTTAATTTCTAGTTGGGTCTCATTAAATTTATCGGCCTTTTCTAGGAAATTCTTGAAAAACCTTATAACCGTGTTTTTGAACTCTATATCCAGTCTTTTGTTCTCCTCCATCTCTTTCTTTTGAGGTCTATTTCCTTGTCTTGGCATTTTTGCTGCTTCCCAGAGTTGATAGGATTGCTTTGTGTGTTTGGTGTCCTATTGCTTGATTGCATATGTTAAGTAACTTTAAATATCAAAGTTATTGATATTAGATGACAAAGAACAATGTCCAAGTACATTAGCAAGTCAGATGATGTGCTGAGATGTGGGAGAGATTATAAATATATACATGGCATTCTCAGAATGGAGGTGAGAGGTGAAGGCTCTGAAGTTTGATACCTGAGAGCATCAAGTCTGTCAGGCAGTCTCTAGGCAGAAAAGCATACAGTGGATTCCCGCTTGGAGATACCATTGTTAGGGGGTGAGAGGAGAAAAATGAGGTGAAAAAATGAAGGAATGAAAAGTGAACACTCTTTATATTCCATAAATGAGTGAGATCATGTGATATTTATCTTTCTCTGACTGGCTTATTTTACATAAACTGATGAACAAAAATAGATCCAGAGACAGAGGAACATCAATCAGACCATCAAACCTCAGAGGGAAGGTAGGGGAGGGAAGGGGTCAGAGGGAGAGATCAACCAAAAGACTTGTATGTATGCATATAAGCCTATTCAATGGACACAGACAACAGGGCGCGGGTATGAGGCATGAGTCGGGGAGCTGGTGAGGGTAATGGGGGAATAAGGACACATATACAACACCTTAATCAATAAAGAAAAAAAAAAAAGTAAACACTCTTAACCCAAATGGCTTATTTACACACACACACACACACACACACACACACACACACACACACACATTTTAGGAAAACATGTAGCTATAATAAACCCAAATATTGAGGAAAACAAGAAGGAAAGGTGAAGGCCGGATTCAGCATAATACTTACCTCGGGTTTGGTGAGGTTGGGCAATCAGGGGGAGAGGCCTCTGTGTGTATTTGTAGCAGGTGTTGGACAGGGCCCTAGCTTTTGGTCTGAGTGAGTGGCAGTTTTGAAACCAAAATGCGGTGGTCAGATCTTAGTTCTCTGTTTCGCAAAACCGAAGAATGAATTCACAGACAAAAATGGTTGTCAGAAACCAAGTTTATTGGGTGATAGACAAACTTCTTGCCACAAGAGGGCAGCAGGAAGGGGGCCCACAGCAGTTACCAATTAAACTCTTTGTTTAGGAATATTCACATACCCTGATAGCTTCTGATTGGTCCCTTCAAAGAATTCTGGCAATATCCAGTTATTTCAAAGTTCAAGTTCCTGTCTGCAGGAGGACCTGATTGAGGACTGCCACTTCAGGTCCGAGGTGACATCACTGTTCCTTTGTAGCTGGGTCAGTTCTAGATGCCCTGTTTGTCGCCCTCCAACCCCTCCCACCCATTCCCATCCCATGGTCCCTGTCCCTGACTGACTGCCTGGCTCTCTTTTTCTATATCCTCCATCTTGGATAATTGTCCAGAGCTTGAAAAACAAAAATTATTGCTTTTAAAACCAAACAGGAAGGATTGTTTAAGTTAGCTAGCATTTCCCTATCCCACTCTCTTCACCCTATTATGGTTGACAGAAGTGTGCTAAAGACCAGAAATGGGACAGGAACATCCAAGGACAGGAGAGGACATTATTAGTGAACTCCACAAACCAAAAAGACTGACTAAAGGCATTGTTGGTCACATTCTGAATACAGATCTTCATAGAATCTTAAAAGTGGTTGTTTAGGTCAAATAAAATACGATTTTTTACATAAAATAATTATATAAAAACTGCTAGCTACAGTCCCACCTACTATTGAAAGAAGTTTTTAGGGGTAAAATAGGCAAGTTTAGAGAGTTTTAGGAATTAGGGGTCAATGGGGGAGAACCACAGGGCTGCACAGCTGGGAGCTGCCAGAAGGCATACATTCACAGAATAAGGGGGCTGGGAGATGTCAAGAGATATACAGAATAAAGGGAGAGGAAACCACCCATTCACAGAGCAAAGAGGAAAGCCACAGGGAATAGAAAAACAAAAGAGAGAAAAAGAGGAGAACCCCCAGTGTGGGGTTTGAGCTCTGAAGCTGTTCTAGTGACCAATCAGAGGGGAAACCAGGACACAAAGAACTGCAGCCTTTATAAACCTTAGAAAAGAGGGACTGGGTGGGTCTCTCTCGCACTCCCCATGTGGGAGTCTGTGCTTGTTTCCCAATAAATTCCCACCTTTTCCTATACCACCTTTTGTCTGCGGCTTCATTCTTTGAATCCACCGGGACAAGAAACCTGGAAATCACCTTTGCATCCTGCCCAGAGGAAAAACCACGAGTTCTAGTTTCATTTTCGCATTTCACTATCTAGGTGGGACAGGCAAAGCAAGGTTTCCTAGGAATGTGGCCTTAAATTTCCAAATGAAATAAATGTGTGGAGACCTGTCTGGTTTGTCTCAGTGGATAGAGCATCAGCCTGTGGACTGAAGAGTCTGAGAGAGCAGGGAGGGGTGAGGGGGCAGGGCGGGGTGAGAGGGCAGGGGAGTGAGGGGGTAGGGGGGAGGTGAGAGGGCAGACGAGGTGAGAGGGCAGGGTGGGGTGGGTCCAGCTCCTGGTAACTGGACCCTAGGCCTAACCCAACCAATCAGGTCAGCCAAGGTAGCTGCACCACCCTCCCTATAAAACCCATTGATATGTTAAGTTCTTCCTCTTTCTCACCATGCCCTCCCTGGTGTAAGTGGGACTGAGCGCAGACTAGTCCGAAATAAATACAGGCTTTCTGCAATTGCATCGGATTCGGCTCCCTGGTAGTCTTTGGGGTTTATGACACTTGGGCATTACATATGAAGCCTTGTCCGCGATCTCCAAGACTGAGGGACTCTGAATCTGGAGAGCCTGTCTGGTCGCAGTAGAAGTGTGTGAAGGGATCCCTGTGGGAAGTGCATGAGAGGTCTAGCGGATGCGCTATTGAAGGCTACGGGCCGGGAGATCAAAAGACGTTTTGATCCTCCTTTAGGAGGGACATAGAATTCCCTATCAGGACGAGGTAGTCGGCGTGAGGCCGTCGTTTAGTTTTAGGTGCTGCTTCCACGCAGTTGGAAGGCTGTCCTTGGGGGGGCCCCCCATCTGTTCCTGTGTTCTTTGTTTGTTTGTTTATTTGTATGTTTGTATAAGGGAAAGGTTTCAGTTTGCTCTTGTTTGTAAATTTGCTATAAAAACTTAAATCTGAATGTATTGAATTGTTATAATACTGAAAATGTTGATGTGGGGAGTTCTTCTCCTGGTGGCTGTTGTAATTTTATGTGTAATTTTATGGACTCACTGTATGAATGTTATGGGACAGACTCTGATTACTCCTTTGGGCATTGTGATTAATCATTTTCAGGAAGTAGAGGGAAGAGCTAACGATTTTAGTATGGAGGTCTGGAAGAACGAATGGCAGACTTGTTGTTCAAGTGAGTGGCCAGCTTTCAATGTCAGGAGGGAACTTTCGATCTCCCTACCATTTGCCGGGTTTGGAGTGTCGTCTCTCAACCCAAGACAGGTTACCGCGATCAGCTCCCATACATTATCATATGCAGGACCTTGTGGAGAACCCACCCTTTTGGCTTAAGCCCTTTGTGGCTCCGTGCCCCTGGGAGCCAGAACCTATTTTGCCTTACAGGGAACGGAGAGGACAGAGAAGAAAATCACCCTGCCATCAGCTCCCCCTACTCTGTCTTGCAGGGGGGAACTAAAGAAGAATTAATTTTTCCTCCCCCGTATCAGTTCCCTAGGGTGCCGGAGGAGGAAACTGACCCTCCCCCACTGAGGGAAGCAGATGCCATGAGGAGAGCGGGAAGCCTGCCATATACCAGACAAAGAGCCCAGAGGGAACAATCCGCCTTCGTCGCCAACTCCACTGTTAAGACTTTACCCCTGCGAGCCACTGGTCCCCCAGATGAGAGGGGCGATCAGCCCCATCACTACTGGCCTTTCGCCACTAGCGACCTTTATAATTGGAAAGCTCAAAATCCTGAGTTTTCTGAGAAGCCAGCGGGACTTATTAATCTGTTGGATTCTATCATTTTTACCCATCAGCCAACCTGGGACGACTGCCAGCAGCTCTTGCAGGTCCTGTTCACCACCGAGGAGAGGGAGAGGATCCTTAATGAGGCCCGGAAGCTGGTTCCAGGCGTGGATGGGAATCCTACCACCAACCAGGCTCAGATAGAAACCTCTTTTCCTCTTACTAGGCCTGAATGGGATGTCAGCACAGCAGAAGGTAAGGAGGGGCTCCGGGTCTACCGCCAGGCTCTAATGGGGGGTCTCCGGGCGGCTGCCAGAAAGCCAACTAATCTGGCTAAGGTAGGGAGCATACAGCAGGAGAAAGATGAATCTCCAGCAGCCTTTCTAGAGTGGATCATGGAGGCATTCCGCACCTATACCCCCATGAATCCAGAGGCTCCTGAGAGTAAGGCAGCTGTTATTGTAGCCTTTGTAAACCAGTCTGCTGCAGATATTAGGAGAAAACTGCAAAGAATAGATAGACTGAGAGAGAAGAGTCTGCAGGACTTGTTGGTGGTGGCTGAAAAGATGTACAATAACCGGGAGCCCCTGAAGATAAACAGGCTCACAGGCAGACCTGAGAACTGGCTAGGATCCTGTGGGCCACCACTACGACTCCCCTGAGAAACGGGACCTCCTCCTCTGACAGCTTGCAAATGATCGAAAGAAAGGTAAGGAGACCTCTGGGGAAGGGAAGTGGAAAATGCAAAAGGATCAATGTGCATACTGCAAGAAGATAGGGCATTGGGCTCAAGAATGTCCTAAGAGAGGCAGTGGGAAAGGGAGCAAGACAGACTTAGTAAAGGTCTTAGGACTTGATGAACTAAGTGATTAGGGGAGTCAGGGTTCGGACCCCCTCCCCGAGCCCAGGGTAACTCTTAGAGTGGAGGGGACCCCTGTGGACTTCCTTGTTGACACCGGAGCGCAGCATTCGGTCCTCTGCACTCCACAAGGAAAACTAACTAGCAAAAAATCCTGGGTGCAAGGGGCAACTGGTATGAACCAGTATTCATGGACTACCCGAAGAACAGTGGATTTAAGGATGGGCCAGGTAACCCACTCCTTCATGGTAATACCAGAATGCTCCTACCCACTGTTAGGACGGGACTTACTGACCAAGAGAGGAGCTCAGATAACTTTCAGACAAGGGGGGCCTCAGGTCACCGATGGCGAGGGCCACCCCATCCACGTTCTGACTCTGAGGCTAGAGGATGAGTATCGCCTCCACCAGGAGGCACTCCCAAGGGGGGATAACATGGATAGATGGCTACGAGAATTCCCCACAGCCTGGGCAAAGACAGGAGGGGTAGGACTAGCTGCTCACAGGACCCCAGTCCTAGTGGAGCTAAAGCCAGGAGAAGGTCCGGTAAGGATCAAACAGTACTCCATGTCTCAGGAGGCCCAGGAGGGAATTCAGCTACACATCCAGAGACTGCGGAGTCTAGGGGTGCTGGTTCCCTGCCAATCTGCTTGGAACACCCCCCTACTGCCGGTCAAGAAGCCTCACACAAATGATTACCGACCAGTGCAAGACCTCCGGGAAGTAAATAAAAGAGTCATGGACATACACCCAGTTATCCCCAATCCATACACTCTCTTGAGCTCCCTGGTGCCCACCAGAATCTGGTATACTGTATTAGATTTAAAGGACACCTTCTTCAGTCTGCCGCTAGCACCCAGGAGCCAACCCTTGTTTGCCTTCGAGTGGCATGATCCAGAGGAGGGCTACAGTGGACAACTCACCTGGACACGACTGCCTCAGGGGTTCAAGAATTCGCCCACCATCTTTAATGAGGCACTACACGAAGACCTGGGTGAGTACAGAAGGGAGCAACCCTGGCCTCACCCTCCTACAGTACATAGATGACATCCTGATTGCTGCCGACCCGGCAGAGGATTGTGAACAAGGAACCCAGGATTTGCTGGTCACCCTGGGGGCCTTGGGGTAATGGGCATCCGAGAAGAAGGCACAGATATGCAGAGAGAGGGTAAGTTATCTGGGGTACATCTTGGAGGGCGGACAGTGGCCATTATCAGATGCCAGAAAAGAAACTGTCCTAAAGATCCCCACACCCACCTCTCAAAGAGAAGTGAGAGAATTCTTAGGGTTGGCCGGCTACTGCTGTCTCTGGATTCTGGGTTTTGCTGAGATTGCCAGGCCCCTGTATGAAGCTACCAGAGAGGGGAAGACATTTGAATGGACAGAGAAAGAGGAGGCTGCCTTTAATCAGTTGAAAAAGGCCCTCCTACATGCCCCGGCTCTGGGACTGCCAGACATTACAAAGCCCTTTCACCTCTTTGTAGATGAGCGCAAAGGGGTAGCAAAGGGGATTTTAACTCAAGCCTTGGGCCCCTGGAGCCATCCAGTAGCTTACTTGTCTAAGAAACTAGACCCAGTGGCTGCCGGCTGGCCACCGTGCTTGAGGATTATTGCGGCAACAGCACTCCTAGTGAAGGATGCTGACAAGCTAACTCTAGGGCAAGAAATTTGGATTACAATCCCCCATGCAGTTGAGGGAGTTTTAAAACAGCCACCTGATAGATGGATGAGTAATGCACGCATGACTCACTACCAGTGCCGTCCCCTAAATCCTCCCAGAGTGCGGTTCTGCTCCAGTGCAGCCCTCAACCCTGCAACTCTCCTGCCTGACCCCGACCTAGATGCCCCGCTACATGACTGCGCCGAGATCTTGGAACAGGTGCATGGACTCCGGAAGGACCTGACGGACCAACCCCTCTCAGATGCAGAGGCCACATGGTTCACCGATGGAAGCAGCTTCATGAGAAACAGGCACAGGTACGCGGGCGCGGCAGTAGTAACTGAGACTGACACCTTATGGGCAGAGGCTCTGCCATCTGGAACGTCAGCCCAGCGGGCAGAACTCATCGCTCTGACAAAGGCATTGACACTAGGGGCCGGGAAACGACTCAATGTCTTTACAGATAGCCGATACGCGTTTGCCACAGCTCACATCCATGGGGCAATCTATCAGGAGAGAGGGCTGTTGACTGCAGAAGGAAAGACTATAAAAAATAAACAAGAAATACTCGACTTGCTAGCTGCCTTATGGCTCCCAGCCAAGTTAGCCATCATCCACTGCCCAGGACACCAGAAAGCCAACAATCCTGTAGCCAAAGGCAACCAGAAGGCTGATCAGGTGGCCAAAGAAGTAGCCCTCACTGCAGTCCCTGCACTGGCCCTGCAATTGCCAGAGCCAGGAAACCCAGTTCTGCTGGATCAGCCCGGATACTCCCAGGAACAATGAGAGCGAATCAAAAGCCACCCCACAAACAAGGAAGTCAGAGGCTGGTGGTGTGCTCCAGATGGGAAGCTCCTGCTACCAGACCAGCTTGGGATCCCAATGTTGAAACACATACACCAATCCACTCACCTAGGGTCCCGGAAACTAAAGGATTTGGTCCGGCATGCTAAGATCAAAATTCACCAACTGGACACCAGAATAGATCAAATTATATCAGCCTGTAAAACTTGCCAGCTTACAAATGCAAGGGCCGGGTCAAGTGGAAAAGGAACCCGGCTCAGAGGAACAAAGCCCGGGGTGCACTGGAGATTGACTTCACTGAGGTAAGGCCGGGAAAGTATGGCTATAAATATCTTCTAGTTTTTGTAGATACCTTTTCTGGATGGGTAGAAGCATACCCAACTAAGCATGAAACAGCCCAGATGGTTGCTAAGAAGCTACTGGAAGACATTCTATCCAGGTACGGTTTCCCAGCTGTGATAGGATCGGACAACGGCCCAGCTTTCATCTCACAAGTAACACAGGCAGTAGCCAAGGCTATAGGGGCAAATTGGAAATTACATTGTGCGTATAGGCCCCAGAGCTCAGGACAAGTAGAAAGAATGAATAGAACACTAAAAGAGACCCTTTCTAAACTAACCATGGAGACTGGCGGGGACTGGGTGGCTCTCCTTCCCTATGCTCTTTACCGGGTGAGGAACTCACCCTATACCCTAGGCTTCACTCCCTATGAAATTAGGTTTGGTAGGCCCCCACCTATCATTCCCAATCTTAAGGCAGAACTGCTAACTGAATTTGACAACCAAGAAATATCTTTTTCTTTAAGAAGGCTCCAGAGGGTGCATGAGGACATTTGGCCACGCCTACAAGCCATCTACGAGGCTGGCCCGATCCCAACACCCCACCAGTACCGGCCGGGAGACTGGGTCTTTGTCAAAAGACACTGCCGGGAGACGCTTGAACCACGTTGGAAAGGACCATACATCGTGGTGCTGACGATGCCCACCGCCCTCAAAGTGGACAGCATTGCGACCTGGGTCCACCACACTCATGTTCGGCCAGCTGACTCCTCTGCGATCCGGGAAGACTTCGCCAACCGATGGAGCATCGACCGAGACCAAGACAACCCCCTCAAGCTCAAGTTATGGCATACTCAACCTGCCTGATACTGGAAATTTTGTTTGCGGCCACTCCGGCTGCAGGAGCCCCCACACCCCATACACTGGTTCGGGGGGAAAGACTCACTTCTGCCCTGGACACTCCTGACGCCTCTGTGTAGTCTTGTGTCTCCACTGGACACATCTCGTGGACTCCCCCAAAATGTCAGATCAGGACACCGGGAAGGAGAAACTTTATACACCCTTTAGAAGTGCAAACGGTCCCATGATTGGGCCTGTTAAGTCTCAAGACAAGGGGGGAATGAGAGGGCAGGGCGGGGTGAGAGGGCAGGGCGGGGTGAGAGAGCAGGGTGGGGTGGATCCAGCTCCTGGTAACTGGACCCTAGGCCTAACCCAACCAATCAGGTCAGCCAAGGTAGTGGCACCACCCTCCCTATAAAACCCATTGATATGTTAAGTTCTTCCTCTTTCTCACCATGCCCTCGCTGGTGTAAGTGGACTAGTCCGAAATAAATACAGGCTTTCTGCAATTGCATCGGATTCGGCTCCCTGGTAGTCTTTGGGGTTTATGACACTTGGGCATTACAAGTCCCAGGATCAATTCCAATGAAGGACCTATGTCTGGGTTGTGGGCTCAATCCCTAGTAGGGGGCATTCAGAAGGCAGTCGATCAATAATTCTTTCTCTTCATTGATCTTTCTGTTTCTCTCCCTCTCCCTTCCTCTCTGAAATAAAATAATTAAAAAAAGAAAGAAAGAAAAGAAATGGGTGGAGAACATTGTGACACAAAATCTAAGAAAAAGAGATACCTTCATTTCTAGGCCAATTGAGAGTCAATATCAGAAAAGTTTATCAAAGGTAATAAGGTTGAACTTACTGAGCTGTGGTTCAAAGGCAAACTCCAAGTCGCTCATTCATCCTCTAAATGCCTTTATTGAAGTTTATAGACAACCCTCCAGACCATCTCCTACTTGCAATGCTACAAGCAGAAATTCCCTTTTTATTAAAGAGCCAGCCCTATGTGCACTTAGTGATTATCTCGATGCTGGCCTTGAAAACAATACAGTTCTATCCAATTAAAAAATGCACCTGGCATGGCATTGAGATTATGGGCATATCTAGTCTCTGGCCTACAAGGTCATACAGCTAAGTTTATCTTCATTATTCTTCAAACAGGTATTAACGAAAAAAAACCATTGAACCTGTAAAGAATTTTTTTTAAGAGTTTATTTGAGCCAAAACTGTCGACAAATGCTGGGAAGCAGAACCTCAACGGATTGAGATAATGCTCCGAAGAATGGTGGGTTACATTTCTCTATTTATACACCGAAATCAAAGGAGGGACATAGGTGGGTTACATGAAATTCATTGGTGATGGAGTAAGGAGGCGGGAGAAAGCAAAGTGGTGGGAAAGTCCTGGGATTGGATAAAAAGTAAAATGATGAACGTGTACTCAGGTGAGTGCAGGAACAATTAACATGATAACGAAGGAATTTGAGGCATCTGTCCTGGCGCCCACCACATTTGGTTGTGCCCCAGGGGCTCTGGAAAAAGGGAAGTTACAAGTTACCCAGACATCTCATAGATATGTTATAATATCTTAGAGGCAAAAAGACAAATGGGCTCAGTAAAAAGATCAAAGTTGATCTTTGTCTGGGAAAATATCTGGGACATGACTACCTACTATAACCTGTTAGATATTTAATTTTCAAACCATCTTTTGTGGTTATCTTAGGTCTCTGGGTTTGCAAGACTGCCACGCAGGCCTTCCCTGAGCTTGTCAGGTTAGCATGTGGCTTTTTTCTTTCACACAGGCTAATGCAGACTAGAAAGCAACATTTTAGGATAAGGGACCATTTAAGAGCAGAAAAGTCCAAACAGCAGTTTGTTACAAATACGGTTTTCCTTCTCACACTGATTTCCTGCACTTGGACTTTGTGCCTTGTTCTCCTTCACTTGGGCTGGTTTGTTCCTTAACAACCTCCTGGCTTTGACTTTGACCTTAAGTTTGCTCTCCATTCTCTGTCTCCCAAGTCACTGTGGCCTGGACACTTCACTAAGCACACTCTGCCCTAGAGCCTGAATGGAGGGAAATTAGGTAAGGAGCTAAACCAGCTGTAGGGATGCGGTTCCCACATACTGACCCTCAGGGCTCGTCCTCGACAGTTGCTGTGCAGAAAAACAGCAGAGGCTGGGAACTGGCCAAGGCATGACACTCAGAATGAATAGCTCCAAAGCTACCAGGCTATGCCCCAGGATGAGTCCTTCAACCTGATTTATTGTTTTATTTGCCCTTCTCTGACTTGCCTGTTTTCACGATATCATTCCTGGAGTGTGGCAATCACAAGTTCACATAGTAATTGAGGTGCAAATTAGCCCTGCTTGTGAACAAACTATGATAAAGTTTTGCTGGGAGTTTTCCCACATGCTTATTTAGTCGCAATAAAAGAGTGGAATATCTGAGGAGAGAGAATAGAGTACTTCCTAATTTTTATTTTAAGAAGTCTTATTCTTATGAGATTATCTTATTTGAAAAATCAGTTTATATTCCTCTAAGTTTTTCTTCAGGTTTAAAAGGTTTTAATTTGCATAATACATTTCATTTAAATAATTAAAATAATTTTATTTTGCATAATAACTTGCATTTTAATAAATAAAATAATGGAAACCCCCCTCCCCACAATGGCACTCTGATGAAATTGTATTTGCCAGCCTGCAGGACACCTTGAACCAGCTTGGTTTTCACTCTAGATTCCACTGTCATCCCACCCAGCTTCCTCCTTCACCAACAAGGAAGTTCTTTCCTTCCCTGCCAGCCAGACAGGCCGCTGGACTAGGCAGGGGTGGCCTGCATTGTCAGTGGGTCTCTGATGTGAAAAGGGGCAGCACAGGCATTTAAATAGATCCAACCTCTTTGCATCTTAAAAAAAAAAAAATTAAACCGTTAAAAGATGTAAAATAAGAAGGCAGTGACAGTTCCTGTCAGCGGTACATGCCTCATTATCATTCGCCTGCTTGCTTCTCCTGCTCAACCATTTCTTCTTTTAAAAACTATATTTTTACTGATTTCAGAGAAGAAGGGAGAGGAGAGAGAGATATAAACATCAATGAAGAGAGAGAATCATCGATCAGCTGCCTCCTGCCTGCCCCTCCCTGGGGATTGAGCCGGCAACCCAGGCATGTGCCCTTGATCAGAATTGGACCTGGAGCCCTTCAATCCTCAGGCTGACACTATTCTCTGAGCAAAACCAGCTAGGTGGAGTCCTCTTTTTTTTCACCATTACTATGCCTATCCTAATTTCCCAGGTGAGGGACTGAGAAATCAAGTCTGGCCAGTGCCTGGAAGGAACAGAAAGTGGAATATTTGTGAGTAGCCTCAATAGCAAAGAAACCACTTACTAGTAAGTGCCATCAGGTAAGTCATTTAATCCTTCCAGGACTCATTTTTTTTTCTGAATGTAAAAGTACAATAGTAGTGAAAGGAGTTTTAGGGATAAAATAGGCAGGTTTAGGGAGTTTGGGGAATAAAGAGGATCTATGGGGAGGAATGCATAGGGGAGGGTTTGGAACCTTTAGAGGGCATGCATTCACAGGAGACAGGGAAAAGCCACAGGGTTTGGGGAGAAAGAAAGCAAACTTCCATGGAGGATAGAGAAATGCCAACAAATGGTAGGAAAAGGAAAACAGATTTTCACAAGAGACAGAAACATGTTACAAGATAAGGGGGAGAGAAAAGGAGGGGCGCCGCGTTGGGTTTGGGCTTTGAAGCTGATATTCTGTAAGAAGAGTGACCAATCAGAGGGGAGCATGAAGAGAGAGAGAACTACAGCATTTATAAACCTTAGAAAAAGGGGTGCAGTGGGTTACCGCCTGCATGGAGTCTGTATTTGCTTCCAATAAATTTTTACTCTTTTCATCTCCCACCTTTTGTCTGTAGCTTCATTCTAATCCATCTGGACAAGGACCCAGGAAAGAAATCACCCTTGCATCCTGTTCAGGAAAACAACCCAAATCAATAGCAATATTGAAACATATCACATAAAGTTTTTGTGAAGATTAGATAATGAAAATAATGCACTTAGATAGTACTTGGAAAAGGTTTATATGCTCAATATATGTTAGATATTATTATTATTATTAATTATTACTGTAAATAGGATTAGAAATTTCCTCAGATGGAAGCAATGTAGAGATCTAGTCAACTTTTTTTTTAATTTATTTAATAAATGTGGAAACTGGGGTCCAGAGTGAATAAGTGACTTTCAGATGAAATAGAACGCAAGTGTGAAAATTTGTAACTTTAGCCCATCATTCTCTATACTGTGTTGAGTTTCACAGTCTTTTCTAAGCAAATAGATTATAATGGTAATTTATAGTCTGCCTTGGAGGGGTCTGCTCTTTCCTGCATCTTGCAAAATGCCAAGGAGAGGTGCCAATTCTTCCCTGTTTCTTCCAATTCCTGGAGAACATTAGATTATCATTTAGGAATGCAGTCTATTGAAAGATGTTCTGGCTTTAAAAAAAAAAAAATTAACAATGCTGCAAACCAGAATTTCTGGCCCTGGCTGGTTTGGCTCAGCAGATAGAGTGAAGGCCTGTGGACTGAAAAGTTCTTGGTTCGATTCCAGTTAGGGGCTCATGCCTGGGTTATGGGCTCAATCCCCAGTGGGGGGAGGAGGAGAGTGCAGGAGGCAGCTGATTAATGATTCTCTCTCATCATTGATGTTTCTATCTCTCCCTCTCTCTCCTCTCTGAAATAAATTATATATATAATTTAACAAAACAGAATTTCTGAGAGAGCCAGAATTATGTGGAATCAATTTGTCCCAGGCATATATTTGAGAACACAGAATTTGGAATTTGGCCAAGTAACCTGGATTATAACTCTAACTCCAGTCATTTTAATTATGTGACTTGTATAGGTTAATGTCCATAAACCTCCATTTCCCTGTCAATAAAACAAAGATAATAATTGTATGCACATATCTCCTAGAGTTGCTGTGAAGATTAAATAACACCCATCATCAAGAAATGTTAGCTTCTGCCCAGTCAGAGTAGCTCAGCGGTTGAATGTCAACCTATGAACCAG